CCCGCCTCCCCGCGCCACGCCGGCGGTTATTTATAATTATCCCCCTTTCCCTCCTTCGGCCGCTCCTCGGCACACGGCGGGATTTGGGGTTACGGCTGCAGGAGAAGGGAAAAGGCCTCGCGGCTCGGCGGCCGGTGAGACGGGGATGCTGCGGGCAATGCCCCGGTGAGCATCGGGGAGCGGGGGACCGCGGCATTTCTGCGGGGCCGGAGCAGGGGAAGGTGCCGCGATGCCCAGGAACAGGGCTTTTTCAGAGCCCGAGTGCTCGGCCGAGTACTCCGCCGACTACTCGGTGAGCCTGCCGTCGGACCCCGAGCATGGCGTGGGTCGGACCCACGAGGTGACGGTACGCAGCTCAGGACCCTGCCTCTGCCTACCCCGCTTCATGCGCCTCACCTTTGCTCCCGAGTCCCTGGAGAACCTCTACCAGACCTATTTCCGCCGCCAACGCCACGAGACCCTCCTGGTGCTGGTGGTCTTCGCCGCCCTCTTCGACTGCTACGTCCTCGTCATGTGCGCCGTGGTCTACACCGCCGACAAGCTGGCCCCGGTGCTGGCGGCGGCGGCTGGGCTGGTCGCCCACATGCTGCTCTTCGTCCTCTGCAAGTACAGGCTGCTCCCCGAGCGGGTGGCCCGCAGGTTCCTGCCCTACGTCCTCTGGGTCCTCATCTTGGCCCAGATCTTCTGCTACCTGGGTCTCAACTTCTCCCGCTCGCCCGAGGCCAGCGACACGGTGGGCTGGCAGGCTTTCTTCGTCTTCTCCTTCTTCATCACCCTGCCGCTGCGCTTGGCGCCCATCGTGTTCATCACCGCCGTCTCCTGCAGCATTCACACGCTGGTGCTCGGTGTCACCGTCGCCCAGCAGCGGCAGGATGCCCTGGACGAGGGCGCGCTGCTGAGACAGGTACGGGAGGGGGGCATGGGGTCCCCTGGGGTGGTGGGGGGCTGACGGGCAAATCATCCCCATCTGGTGATTCCATGAGTTACCGTGGGGTCCCTCTCCGTCCCTATGCCCTGACCCTAAAGCCGTGCTTGATCCGGACCCTGCGAGCTGATCGTGGTGTTTGCTGGGAGCAGGGGGCTCCCCAAAACATATCCAGGGATCAACCCGCATGGGGAGTGGGGTGCTGGGGAGTGCAGGAGCACCCGCCCGTGCTGCGGCACGTGGCCTCAGACCCGGCCCTGCAAGCACGCGTCCGTCCCCAGGAGCCACCCGAGGTGCGTGGACACATGGGCTGTGGTTGGGCTGCTGGGGAAACTGAGGCACGGTGGACTGCAGGCTCCCCCATCCACCCTGCCCAGCGGCCTTGCTTGTGCCCGTTTCCCTTTGAATTGCAAAAATGGCTAAAAATGGCCAAAAATGGCCATTTTTAGCTGAAACATGGCAGGAACCCAGCTTCTGGGCTCACAAACAGCCACCGGAGCTTTCCCAGGAGGATGGAGCTGGGCGGCCGCTTGGCCCCAGCTTGGTCCCTGGGCGCTGCCCGTCACCCAGCCCCGTGCCTGGGGCAAAGCCCGGGGGTGCTTTGGGGTGCTTTTTCTGCACCGGCAAAGCCGGGGAAACAGCGTCCCCGAGCCCGAACGTGGCCCCAAGGACGGGCCACCCATTCACGCACGCAGCACAGGAGGGGCCATGGGGGTCAGGCGGGGGGAGAGCGGTCCCTGGCCCATCGGCTTCTTAACATTTCCTGGGAAATACCCGCCTGGAGCAGCTAGAGACTGTTTTTATTCCCTAAATCAGTAGGTTTCACGGCTTGGCCGAGTCCCTTTCCTCCCACCAATGTCCCCGCTGGGTGGCCCCGCCACGCACCCGTCGATCTGGGAAGCCTCTCCATGGCCGGGGGTGGAGGGTGGGGCGGAAAGCCAGAGCTGAAAACTTGCGTGCCAGTGGCTGCTGACGGCAGCGGGGAAAATCCTGCTGGAAGCATCCGCTCTGCCCCATTAATGGTGTGCGCTCCGTGGGAGGATGCTACGGGAATTTGGGATGCTCTGGGTCAGGTCTTGGGAGACCTCCAGCTGCTCCCAGCCTAAATAGGAAGAGAGAGGGGGGGTTATTTATTTGCTTTTTGGGAGTCTTGAGCCCATGGTCGCACCAGGAGTTTGGAAAATGGAGCCTGTTCTCCAAAAACCCTGAAGATACGGATTTTTCCCTGCCCCTGGGGTGTATGGTTTGGGGCTGGTCCCCTGGCGTGGGCTATCTCCTGGCATTACACAGGATTTTGTAAAGAAAAGCACTTTTTGGGCATGGTTTCTGGAGCGTGCCAGTCTGGGTGCTGGGGCGGCGGCATGGGTGCCCTCCCAGTGATGCCCGGCCGGCGGCACCGCGCCGGCGGGAGAAATCCCGGGGCGGCAGTGGCTTTTCCAGGTTTCGCTCCCTATCTGGGATGCAAACGCCGCACGTGGCCGATCCGAAGCCAAGGAAACCTCTCGCTGCCACCAGCCCCGAGATGCGGGCGGCAAGGGGGCATGCGGGCACCCCCTGGCCGGCAGCGGGCATGAGCTGCCGCCGCGTTAATCATTGCCGTGGCACAGAGAGTCCAGGGCCGGTAAAACCTTGGCAACGCGGCTTGCCTCAGCCTCTGCCTGCTGCAAAAGGAGGAACATTATGTCCAGAAATAAACATCATACGCTTTATTATTATAGCCAGCGGTGTGGCTCCCGGAGGGCACTGCTATTAATAGGATGAACCAGAGGATGTCGCTTGAGCGGGGCCGGCGCAGCCCGGGGGGGGTTCGCGAGAGATGCCGGCAGCTTCTGCCCCGCTGCCGGCTGTCGAGGAGGAGCCCGAGGGCTGAATCGTGGCAGGGGGTCGGGGTTCGGCGGCGCTTGAAGCCATTATCTGCTGCGGTCGTGCTCAAACCATCTGCGAAGGATCCTCGGGCTCGGCCGATGACCTTGTGCCTGGTTTGGATGGCCCCGGCGCATCCCACCGGGACCCTTCCTGCGGGACACGGATGGGGCTGGATGGGGAAGGAGGGATAAGGCTCGTTCCACCGGCCGTGCGCGCTCCTTCTGCATGTGTCTTGCTCTTGCTGCCCCCAAGTTACTGAGTGCAAATAATAACCGGTGACTGTGCCGGGAGTGGGGTCTCCTCCGTGTCGGGGCTTTCCCCGCCGTGTTTGGGGTGCCAGGAGGTGTTTTGCAGCTCGGGCTGCGCCGGGGGAGGTTTTTGGGGTCCGAGCATCCATTGCACGGCTGCAGGATGGAGCCAGAAGATGCTCGGCGTGGGACGTGGAGATGCTCGGCGTGGCTGTGCCATGCGGTGTGCGGTGCCCGGTGGCGCCGGTGTGCCGAGCTGTGCCGAGCTGCCCCATGCCCATCCAGCCTCGGCAGAGTGGCCCGTCGTCATGACAACCTGAGAGGCTGGTTAAAAATAACAAGTGGCTGCTAGTTTGGGGGTTTCTTCTCTGTGTCCACCTCCAGACGGCTCCTCGCTCGCCGTCTGCTGCACCGCAGGTGCGGGGGCTCCCCGGGGATCCCCCAGCTGTGGCGGCTGGGCCTGGGGCAGGAGCCGGCCCTGCATCAACTGGGGGTCTCAGGCGCTCTCCCCTGCTCCTCATGCTTTCTCCCCCCCCAAAAAAAGTTTCCTTGCTGCAAATCGTTTTGTCAACCACGGTGCCATGCCAGCACCCAAACCCCCAGCGCCAGGGCCCTGTATTTATTGCTGCACGTGGCCTGTTTCATTCGTGCCTCAGTTTCCCCCCTGCATGGAAGGGGTTGGCAGCTCCTCCCTGTCGCCATGCGATGAGACCGGGCTGCTCGGGCCTCGATGCTGTTGAGTGATGAAACCCTCGAGGACGGGGACATCCAGGGATGGCTTTGGGGCCAGGGCTTTCCTCCGACCAAGCTGGGCTATGGGATACGGGGACGAGGGGCGGGATAAGGTCGGTACCGGGGAGTTGGGGATCAGGAGAAGGATGCTGAGCACGCCAGCACATCCCTGATGGAGACAAGCCCGGGGACGGCTCCGTGCTCTTCCCACTGCCTCCTCCACACCGGCTGTGACACAGCCCATGGCCCGCGGGGTGGGAGGACATCTCCATGTCCCCATCGCCCTTTCAGCATAGCTGGAGCCTGTTATCACATCCTCCCCATCGCTCTTCCCCTTTCTAGACTAAACAAACTGAATTCTTTCAACTTTCCCTCATCAGTCACATTTTCCACGAAGAGCTCTTTGCTCCCATCTGCAAACCTGCTCCGTCCCCTCCCGGGCTGCAGGGACGGGATCCAGCCCGTGGGGTGGGTCCAGCCTGTGGGATGGGACAGGGTCCTGCCCACGGGGACAGGGTCCAGCCCAGGGATGGGACAGGTCCAGCCTTCGGGATGAGGCAGTGAGCCTCTGTGCCATGCTCCCCTGAAAGCCCAAAGAAAACGGGGTGGGTTGTCACAGCCAGCAACACCCAGGGGCATCTCCAGCGCTGCAGGCTCACACCTGTACTTTTGGCCGTGGAGAGGGATGTAGAGGGGCAGGAACATGAGTAAACGCGTGATTTTTTAGGGTTTGACGGTGTTTTTATGAACTTTTTCTGCACAAAGGGGTGTAATTCCCGTGGCAGGGGTGGGGGGAGCGGATGGCACGTGAGTCGCTGAGAGCCACTCGCCTTCAGCAGCGCCTTCCCCCGGGGCTGCACCCAGCCCCTGCCGGCCTGCTGCCTTTTTCCAAAACATCTCTGCAAGTTTTAATGAAGCGGAGTCAGCCCACGGGGAGCACGAGGTCTCCTGGGCTGCTCGGGGCGTGAGCCCTGGCTGGACCCCTCCTGCAGAGCCACTGTGACGGTCCCCCCAGTCCCCAGTGAGTCTCCCCCCCAGCAGCTAACAGTGGCCATGGCTTGGTGATTTATCCCCAGGGTGTATTTTATGTCCTCCAGCATTTGAGTATTTTTTTCCACTCTCATCTATCAGGCTCTGCCGCCCAAAGAGGGACTTGCGGTGACAGCGGTGCCGTCCCCGGGGTGCGCACGGGCTTCCCCGCGGCTCCGCTCACCCCCATCTCCTTTTCTCTGTCCCCAAAGATCCTGTCCAACGTTGCCATCTACCTTTGCGCCATCACGGTGGGCACCATGTCCTACTACATGGCCGACCGCAAGCACCGCAAAGCTTTCCTCGAAGCGCGCCAGTCCCTCGAGGTCAAGCTCAACCTGGAGGAGCAGAGCCAGCAGCAGGTAGGAGCCACAGCTGGGCAAGGGGACAGTGTGGGGACAGCGATGGACACCGATGTGGCTTTGGGACGTGGATAAGGCACCCGCAGCCTGCACCCTGCACGGTGCGGAGGGACCGTGGCGGGTGGTGATGGGGACAGGAGGACCCAAGGCGGGAAATGCATTTGTAGTTTTGCACCCTGTGCCCAATTTGGGGACTCTCCGTGTGACCGTCCTCTTCCAGGGCCTCCCAGCTCCTGCCGTGGCCACCACCAAGCTGTCCCCATCCCTGAGCACAGCCACGCAGCAGGTCCCCAGGCGCAGCCACGTGGCAGATCCCCATCCCCATGCACGGCCGCGTGGCGGGTCCCAAGGTATGGCCTTGCAGCGTGTCCCTGTCGCTGGGCACAGTCACATGGCAGGTCCCTGTCACTGGGCACAGCCATGAAACATGTCCCTGTCCCCCGGCAGAACGACGTGGCAGGTCCCCATCCCTGAGCGTGGCCACGCAGCAGGTCCCCATCCTCACCCCGGGCCACACAACCGCTC